TTCCTTCCTTCCTTCCTTCCTTCCTTCCTTCCTTCCTTCCTTCCTTCTTTCTCTTTCTCTTTCTCTTTCTCTTTCTCTTTCTCTTTCTCTTTCTCTTTCTCTTTCTCTTTTCTTTTTTCTTTTGAGACAGGGTCTTGCTCTGTTGCCCAGGCAGAATGCAGTGGCCATCACAGCTCACTGCTGCTTGGACCTCCTGGGCTCAAGTGATCCTCTTGTCTCAGCCTCCCAAGTATTTGGGACTACAGGTGCATGCCACCACACCCAGCTAACGTTTAAATTTTTTGTAGAGACAGAATCTCCCTATGTTGCCCAGACTGGTCTTGAACTCCTGGGCTCAAGTGATTTTCCTGCGTCGACCTCCCAAGGTGCTGGGATTACAGGAATGAGCCATTGTGCCTGGCCACTCTTCAGCAGTTTTCCTTAGAGTTTTGTTTTGTTTTTTCATAATTCAGTTGCCTTTTATTATTTAAGAAAGTAGGCTCTGCTGATATTGCAAAAAAAACAGCAAACCCTTCTACAGTACACATAAAACAGCATTTAGTTATTCACATTATTATATCTCTTCACTTTTCAAAAATATTTACAGAAGGTCTCTTTTGAGTGGTTAGCTCCTCAGTACATTATTTCTTTTGTAGATATCTTATTGTTTTTTTAATGCCTCAAAATTGATACTATTACTTAACAAAATTATAGGCTCACTGTAAGGAAAATGAAACATTGTAGAAATATACAGGTGACTCTTGAACAACATAGGGATTAAGGGCACTGAGCCCCCATGCAGTTGAAACTCCATGTATAACTTTTGACTCCTCCAAAACTTAACTTCTAATGGCCTACTGTTGATTGGAAGCCTTATTGATAACATAAGCAGTCACTTAACACATATTTTGTATGTTATATTATTATATACTATGTTCTTATAATAAAGTAAGCTAGGGAAAAGAAAATGTTAATAAGAAAATTATAAAGAAGAGAAAATACATTTACTATTAATTAAGTGGAAGTAAATCATCATAAAGGTCTTCATCTTCATTGTCTTCATGTATAAGTGGGATGGGCCCACCAAGTTCAAACCCATGTTGTTCAAGGATCAGCTGCATAATGTAGATAATGAAAGTTCCTCTTCTCTTTGCACCCTCCCCCAGATAACCAGAGTTAGGAGCTTTTCCCTAAAGTGTTTAAGATACAATTACTTTGGACACTTTTCTGTGTTCTATGCTGGGTTGAAAGGGGTAGCTCCTTTAATGGTATGTATTTACTAACAGATTTATAATTATATGCCTATATGGAGACTTCTTAACAGTTTTGATTACTGGGAATCAAGAAGTTTCTGTTCAGCCCTGAAGTATTTCCACAGGCTTTGCCTGGAATTTCCTGGGTTTTGATGATATTCACAGACGATTTTTACCTCTCGCTGCATCTTTCAATTGATATGATTTTGTTGTCAGGATCCCTAAATGCTTTTCCAGATTCACTCTAACATTCAGTGTCTTCATCTGCAAAGCTAAAAGAGCAGTACTTTTGTACAGGAATCCCAAGCACTGTTGACGGGCCCTGGGAAGTGAACAGCACACCCTCACTTTGATGACCCTCCTTATAATGGCCCCAGGTTGTTTGTCCTGGTCTTAGGACCCTTCTTTTAAAATTTCTCCTACACTCTCTCTGGTTTAGGACTCAGCTTGGACTCATGTGGCAAGCTGCAGCTCTGATTTGAGCACTTAGGCAACCCTTAGAAGCATCTAACCCAACTGTCAAGGACAGGTCTGCATTGCTTGGGCCAGGAAATCAGTGCTAGTCAGGGAAGGCTTGGAACTAGTACAGAACAACCTCTCTCATTTAGCTTATTGCAGCAGCTTCCTAACTGGCATATCTGCCCCTGTTTTTGTCATTCCTGTAATCCAGCCTAAACTCATTAGCCAGAGTAATTCTTTTAAAATGTAATTTGGTGCCAGGCATGGTGGCTCATGCCTGTAATCCCAGCACTTTGGGAGACTGAAATGGGTGGATCACTTGAGGTTAGTAGTTTGTGATCAGCCTGGGCAACATGGTGAAACCCTGACTTTACTAAAAATACAAAAATTAGCTGGGCATGGTAGCGCATGCCTGTAGTCCCAGCTGCTTGGGAGGCTGAGGCAGAATAGTTTGAACTCAAGAGGCGGAGGTTGCAGTGAGCTGAGATCACACCACCGCACACCAGTCTGGGTAACAGAGCGAGACTCCATCTAAAAAAAAAAAAAAAAAAAAAAAAAAAAAAATGTAACTTGGGTCATGGCTCCCCATTTCAAAAAAAGAAAAGGCCAAGGTCATCACAATAGCCTCCAAGGCCCTCCAGGATCTGGCCTTCCATTGCCCTTCTGGCCTCCTCTCTGATCTCTCTTCCCCCTGCTTGTTCCACTTTGGCCACACTGGCCTCTTGGCTGCCTGTGCCAGATAGGCTCCTGCGTCACTTGCTGTCCCCTTGTCTGGAGAACTCTCCAGCTATCAGCACGGCTGGCTCCCTTGCCTCCTTCAGGTCCACTCACTTGTCCACTTCACAGGAGGGCCTTTCCTGGTACCCAGGAGAAAATTTAACCCTATCCCCACTCCCTTTATCCCCCTTCCCTGCTTAAATTTTTTGCTTATTATTTTTCTTCATCTAACATAATACAAATTTACTTATTTATTTCATTTACTGTTTATATTTTACCATTAGAAATATAAGTACCACAAGGGCAGAGAGTTTGTTTGTTTTGTTTATGCTCAGTAAATATTTGTAAAATGAATGAATATTGTGGGGCAGGTAATTAAATTCTGTTCAGCTTGTTCACTGAATACCTCCTAGGCACTCAGGGGGTCTATAACAATCTATGCCTCATAGACCCCGTCCCCTAGGACCTTACAGTCTAGTAATCAACACAGATCTGTACACAACTAACTAATAGGCCAGGACAGAGTAAGTAACAGAGACAAAGGACTGAGTAAGATGCTGTTGGAACAGTGAAGAAACAATTTGATTAACAATAACATAAGGAGTGAGAAAGCACTTGAATTGGGTCTCAAAGGACAGAAGAAGCTTCTGACTGGTAGAAGAAGATTAGAGAGAATTTTTAAGTTCAAGCATGGAAGTAGAGTGAGAGGTGGGGTGATTTGGGTTGAGAATCAGATGTGTGAAGAGAAAGAATGGGACCTTGAGCTGGAGCTACATTAAGAGGTGGTGTCAATGTCAAGTTTTAAGCAAGGGATAATGTGGTTTCTGAAGGTAGTGTAGGGGGTGGATTGGGAAGTGGTGGGGATAACCAGCAAGGATGTAGAGAAACCAGCAGAGGCCCCTGCTAAGGTCCAGGTGATCAGGATAGTGGTATGGACTACTCTGGGGATGGTGGGGAGGAAGAGAAGTGGATGGATGCAGTATATACTGTTGAAATAAAAATTTTAAAGCTTGCTGATGATTCATTTTGAGGATAAGAGAACAAATGAGAACAATACTAAGTCTAGCCATCCAGCTTGATGATGAGCTCCTTAATGGCATGCAGTGTCATGCACCTAGCCAGCCCACAAAGGTTGATTTCTCTTAACAAAGGTTGATTTCTCTTGATGAGGGTGTCAATCTCTGTCCTGGACACTAGCGTGGTGGAGAACCATAAGGCATGGCTTTTGCCTTCAGGGTGTTCATACTCTAGCGTAGGAAGACATCATTAGAATACAATATGATAAGTTTAGTGATAGAGCTAAATACAGGATGCTGTGGAGAGATGGGAGGACAAGAGAGGAACATAACTCATCTGACAGGGAAGTCAGGGGATCTTACTCATCTTTGTATGCCGTCTTGTCTCCATAGTGCCTAACATGGTGCTTTAGACATGGGAAATGTTTGATATGTGCTGAACTCCGTTAATAGAGAAGATAGGAGGAGACAGAACTTGTGTGTGCATGTCTCTCTGTGTGTCTGTGTTGGGGGGATGATTGGTATGGAAGATGATGAACTGTTTTGTATTTGAGTGGAGGTGCGCCGAGTCATAGGTCTGAAGATTTCTAGCAGGTGGTTGGCAGTATGGTTATGGAGCACAGGAGACAGATAAGAGCTGGTGGTGAGGCAACTGACAGTTTAGGTCAGTGGACGATGAGGTGTAAAATATATAGCAGAGCATCAGTGTTAGAGACAGAGAGTACATTGTGCCTGAAGAGGTTGGGGAAGGTTCTGGGGGCGATAAGACTTAAGCTGAACACTGAAACACAGGTAGGCTGTGAACAGACCCAGAAGAGAGGCGACAACAATCTAAATCATAGTGATTGGTCAGGGAAAACAAAACACATGACAATTCTGTGGTAGGGCTGAGCAGGGTGAGCTTGTGGGACAATGGAA